AAAAGATCTGCTGTCTGAGCAAAGAGAAACAGCAGCTACTGGAGATGGTAAATAGACTAAGAACAGAACTTGGAGAAGCTTCAAAGGAAGGTAAGCTCATTGGAGAGAAGAATCTCAATTCTTGCATAAGAACTTCAATCTCTTGAGATTGAAAAAACTAATGAAGTGAAGTGCACTGCATGTAGGCTTGTTGCCAAGGTTAAGAGGTCCTAGTCAGAGCTTGAGAATGAAATGCTGTTGAATAAGAGCACAGTTGCTCTCAACATTGAACATGATGGTATGAAACATGAACAGACTCAGTATTTGTTTCTTATTCTTGGCTATGAAAACCTTGATTGCTGCTTTAAAAGGTCAAGGTAGCAACTACTTGTTACATAATAGCAAAAAGCTCTTTTATATACTTCTCATGTATATAAGAAGATTCTTGAAATAAACACTTTTTTGTTTTGTTTCCTGAAGATGAAGAACAATGAAAAATTACATTATTGTATAACTAACCTGAGGTCAAAATAGATGCCTTGAATTTAATTTTAAAGCTAAAGTACTGTGACTCGTCTTTCAATTTGTGTATAGCATAAAAGGTTCATTCTTTGTTTTGTCATCTCTCTAGGTTTTCAGGATTGCAATGATTCAAAAAATGAGAATGACACATTCCCTGGTGCCCTTTATCCCAAAGAACTTGTACAAGAAGCAAAGCAGCATTTTCTAGCTTTAGACCATTTGCAATGCCATGTTACAAAACAGGTAACATGTTCTCTTCCAGACAGTATGTCAGAACCTCATCCTTATACCAAGGACAAGAAGGTTGCTGTTAAAATGCTAGATCCTTTCTTGTTGATTGTAATGATATTATAGGCAAGCTGTGCAAAAGCCAGGCTCTGAAGAGTATTGTGAAATACCTCTGATTTTGCTATGCCCAAATATCCAGATTCCATCCCTATTCCATGGAGAACACAGTTGAGGTACAATTCATCATTTCTTTGGAGATTGTAGCAATGTGTCATGTTTGTGTTTCCATAAAGATTGATGGCATAATCCTGTTAGAAGAGACTTGGGTACATTTAATCTAGATTATTGTTAATTTTAGAGTAAAAGGTTTTTTTAATCTACATCTGTACCAAAGAAAGTTGGAAACCATCCTTTTTCCTTTCTTTTTTCCTTTTTTCACACTTTTACCTTGCATTTTGTCTCATTTTTCCCTTTTTCTGTTTTCTCTTTGTTTACTTTTATTCATGATTTTAAAATTTAATACAATCATATTAAAAGAAAAAAGAAAATATCCCAAGCAGTAGCAGTTGTCCTGAAGTAGGAGAAATCCTTTTAAAACATATGGTGTTTTATAGCCTTAAATTACACCCAACGGAGCATAAATAGAAGCATATTTTCTTTGAAATAAATTTATTTCTGAAAGAATTTTTTCTTTATTTCAAGTGGTTATATATGCAATTCTATGTAGGTAAATTAACATTAAATAATTGCACTAGCGCTTTTATTAATTCATTGTAATGTTATCCTAATTTCAATTCCATCTGCTGATCCATTTTTCATGCCCTTACCAATTGGAACTGATAACAAGTAATTTCCTAACCATGTGATATTTTTCCCACAACTATTGTCACTTATGGCAAAAAAATTAATATCAGTTACATGGGAAGTGCAACTTGAGTCCTGACTAGATATGGACTCTGATTTGTACAAACAACTCCTACCCAGTACAAAATGAGCCAATTTGGAAAGGTATTTAATTATCTAGGCAGAACAAAGGTGACAAACTGGCCCTATCCCTGATTCAGATTTTTCTACAGAGATCTCTTTAGTTCAGAAGCACAGGACATTTGATGTTGACATGTACCAAAAAGAGAAAAGTTCAAGTTTTTTAAACTTATAATGCGTCCTCAAGAAATACATTTTGATGGAGAGAGGAGGGATAGGGAGGATTTTATTCAGGGATTAACAGATCTGCCTCAAATCAGAATGTGATTTATTACCTATATTGCAGTGATTGGACAAATTTGAGACCAGAGAGACATATATATGTACATATTCATTGTCATTAAATTACACCTCATTGCCAACCGATTCTCATTTTTAGAGGCTCCATATGTGATGGTGCTCTCTTTTTTTTCTTCTTTTTCTTTTTTTGCAAAGGCAATTAATTTTTTTAATTCATCCTCACTTCCATCCTCATTCCATTCTAATTCACTAGTTCATGCCAGACTTTCAGTTTATTTGATTGTCCATGGATTAGTTGATTTATCTGATTTTCCCCCCTTTTCTTTTGCTGTTTCAAAGTTTTCATGTGTTTGAAGAAAAAAAATAACATTACAGCTGTCATGTTTGTTTATTCCTCTGCAAAAGCATTCATTTTGCCCTAACCTTTGTGCCTGTTTCTTGGTGTAGTGCTGTATATATGTAGTAGAATATGGAGAAACTGAAACTAAGGCTCATACGAAGGTGATTCACTCAAATTGCATTGCCAAATTATTGCTAAGAGCTTTGAAAATCATGCAGAAGTTGTCTGGACAAGAAGCTTCTGCAGTAAAAAGACCACATAATTGGGAAATCACAGCACTGATTTCTACAAAATGTGTTCTGTTCCGTTTTCTTAAATTTTTACTTAAAAATTTATTCCATTTTTTATTTTTTAATATTTTTCATCTATTTCCACATGACATTGATCTCAGACATTGGTCATTTCCACAGATTGGATTAGACTCATGTACAAGAAACTGCACTGCAGATCCCTCAGTATCTAAAGCCCCTGTGATACAGCAGTCTCAACAGCTCAGAAGAGAAAGTCCAAGCCTATCCCAGCAAAGTCTGTTATCATCTAGTGCACCTAGTTCCTTGGAGGAAATTTGGCAAATGTTAGAAATGGGATCAAGTCCTTCAGTTCTCAGCCCCAAAAACATTGATCAAGGTATGTATAATGTATAAAGCAATGGTTATTCAAGTTCAGTAATATAATTCAAATATAGCACAATGGCTTCTTGAAGCCTAAATTACTCTATTTTACTTATGACAGACTCCATTGGTATTTTCTTCATTTCCTTTACATATTCACCACATTAGAATTCAGTGTTTCACTGAGTGCGAAACTAACACATTTGTGTGCTCAATTAACCATTGGCTACAGATAGATCAAATAATATTCTGTGGAACTTTCTGGAAGACAGCATACTTGTCTCTAATGGTTTCCCCCATGTATTCCTTGGACATTCCACAATATCCAAGTGTAAGGAAGTGTTAGTTGTATTCTTGGGCGCTCTTTTGGTATGTTTTCCTACACTTAAACTGATTACATCCCATCTCCTTTCCGCTGTATAAAAATCCAAGTCTGGTGTTCCTAAGCAATAAGAACATATGACAAAATGTTCTTTAAAGCTGAAAGTCTGGTAACTACTCTTTTCACTATTCAGAAGTAGATACTCTATATTGTAGCTGAATATAAATATATTACCGCTTTTACTTAGCATCTGCCATTTTCACTAATTTTATTTACATTTCAGTAAGTAAAATTATTTTACTGTTATTATTTTACTTTTAATAAATTATTCATAGGTGGAAATACAATATTGTTTTTTGTGCTTATGACTCAAGTTTTGCTTGGTAGAGATTTAAAATAATTTCAGTCAATGCATTCTAAGATTTGTTGTAAGATTCAATTTTATAAGATTCAATAACAGATTATTTGTTTACTTATTAGGTTAGATTTTCTTATGGAACTCAAGTTGGTAGACATAATGCTCTATCCTCCCACATTCCCCCCAAAACAACCCTGTGAGACTTGCACATAAAGTGATTTATAGGGTACACATTAAAGTTGCAGCCTCCTTTCACCCCAATGCTACTAAAGGAAACTCTCAGAACCTATTAACAGCTGAAAAGATTATGAGGGAAATGGAAACTGACTTGTTAATTAATTTTAAATAGAATCTTACTAGTAATCTTGAAATAACAGTAACAGAGTTTGAAGGGACCTTGGAGGTCATCTAGTTCAACCCCCTGTTCTCGCAGGAGACCTATACTATTTCTGATAAATGGCTATCCAGTCTCTTCTTAAAAGCCTCCAGCAATGGGGCGCCCACAACTTCCGAAGGCAATTTGTTCCACTGATTAATTGCTCTCACTTCCTTAGTTATAGGTTGCTTCTCTCCTTGGTTAGTTTCTATCCATTGCTTCTTGTCCTGCCCACAACTGCTTTGGTAAATAAGTTGTCCTGCCTCTTCCTTGTGGCAGCCCTTTAAGTATTGGAAGACTGCTATCAGTCTTTTCACTAGACTAGGTATACCCAGTTTCTGTAGTCATTTTTCATATGTTTTAGCTTTTAGACCCCTAATTGTTTATGTTGCTCTTCTCTGAACTTTTTCCAAAGTCTCAACATCTTTTTTGTATTGGGGTGATCAAAACTGGATGTAGTATTTTAAGTATGGTCTTACCAAAGCTTTGTAAAGTAGTACTGCTATGATTTGATGGAATGTTTTGATACTTTTTGTCTCCTCTCCTCCCCCCCTGGAAAAATGAGTTGGCATGGATACATACAAATATATTTACTATATGTGTAGAAAATACTACTCAACCTGTTTTAATTCTCTTTATCCAGATAACTTAATTATTTTAATATTTAATAGCTTGTTTTTTTTATCCCATTTAAAATCATTTCTTATTTCACCAGTTGACCAATATTTTCTTTTTTGCCCATATGAATCAACTAAGCATTTATATCTCCATTATTAGACTTAAAACTCTTCCTCACTTTGTCTCTTTGTCTCTTTCTTTTACTGATCACTCTATGGTCATTAATGCTTATTACATGAATTTATCAGATTTCTACAAATTGGACAATTTCTCTGCAGATGATTCTCTATAATACCTCCAAGACTATAATTCGTTAGTTACTATTGCAAAACTTTTTGGAAAGTTTTTGGAAATAGAAAATATATCATGAAATTACAGATTAACACTGTGTTCCGATTTAACAGTAGCTACGTAATACTTACGTATGCTGGCAGCCATGTGGTAGCAAGGGAGGGTAATATGGAGCTCCAGGGATGCTACGTAGAGATTCATCTATTGCATCAAAGATTTTGTGAACTGAGCATAGAAGAGATACCACAGGTCAAGAACCTATTGATAAAACAAAGACTGTTTGCACATGTAAATGTTACAGCAACTTTCCTAACGTTTCATGTTCTCAACTGGTGAACCTCATCTGGCAATTTTACAAAAACACTAATTCCTAATCTTGGATACATCTAACTAAAATAAAACTGCTGCCTTTAATACTGCAAATGTCCACAATTTCGTGCCATAGAATAATGTTTTGGGCTAGGTATTTGATATCATCTACAGATGGATTTTGAGAAGATTTATGTTGAAGCTTGATATTCATCTATCTCATATACTTACTATGGAGGGCTTGGCATTAGGTAATCTGCTTTGGAAATGGTGATTACCCTCTTATCTTGCTTTCAGGTCCTGCATATAGGCAATGTAGAATGTAGGAAAATGAATGGAAGAGGCAGCCTAAAATGGCATGTTCCATGTCTTCAAATTTGTGACTCCATTTGGCTGGAGTTTCCAGACAAATTGCAGTTGTGGAGAGGAATGTGGAATGGAGTAGGAAGGAGTTCTCCCAGTCTTCCAGAGGAAGTTCCCTCCCTGTCTCACACTTGTGGCCTGTTAACCAGACTATTTTTGAATATTTTTGAAAAAAGTCTAATGCTTTTTCAAGAAAGCACTAAAGCTGTGTTCAAAAATATTCCATGTGAAAGTTCACAGATTCAAAGCATTGTAAGGAACATTAGAGAATTCTATCCCACCTTACCCAATATCTTTCTATTGCATTTATGACCTGTCAGGCTAAAAAGATGAGAAAGAGCAAGAGAGGAAGTGGGAGAGAACAGTCAATAAAAGCTGCAGAGTAATGGCTATGCTGACAACAAGTGGCTACGGCAGTAACGTCTGAAAGTGGCCCATTGGATAAGCAAACAAGTATAAACTTTGGCAAAATAGTGTCCTCCCACTGCCCTAAAATACAATGAATAGTTCAATCATGAAAAAACCCTTTGTTGGAAGACATTTCTGAAATACCAGTCAGGCATTACATGGGAAGGTATATCTGTGGAAGATATATCTCGTCTCACCTACAGTTTAAGTCAAAATGGTTATAGAGGGCAGTGCCTGGGAACCATAGAGGAAAGGATAGATTTATGGCAGCCAGAAGCGCATGTTCCAATCTCATGTCACGCAACCAAATGCACAGTGAGGTAACCACATTGTATCCATGGCAAAAACTGTGTGAAAAGAAGAACAGTACTTATTTAAGGTATTGTTTATTTGGGACGATAGTGAAATGAAGACAATATTATTAGGACATACCGTATAAAAACTATGGGACATGTTCATGTTGCTATTAGAGAAAAGCCAAAACATCAAGATTGAATGTGGACATTCTGCGAGTCAGTGACCTGAAAAGGAATAGATCCAGTAGTGGGATTCACAATTTTTTACTATTGGTTCTGTGGGCATGGCTTGGCGGGCATGGCTTGGTGGTCATGTGACTGAGTGGGCATGGCCAACTTGATGTCACTCAAGGCAAGGTGGGGCGGCTCAGGCGGGCCAATGCTGCAGAGACAGGGTGATTTCGAGGTACCATTCCGAGCCCCTTCCCCCCACCTTCTTGGGCTGACAAAAGCCCATCTAAAGAGCGTGACTGCCTGCAGAGCGTGACTTGCGCATACTGGCAAAAGGAGGCTAGGGGAAAAAAAGAGAAGGGCCGATGGAAACGGCCCATTTGCCGCCTCCATTCGGCTGTCTGCGCCGTGCTGAATCACAATGGGGAGGTGGGGGAGGAAAGGAAAAAAGCCCACTCAGTCCATATTGTACGTTTTCACCAGCACAATGAAGAATCTCTCCCAGCTTGCTGGTTCGGGCATTGGGAGCTTGAGGAGTAGATTGAGCACCTGGACTTGTTGCTGTGTTGCTCCAAGCCCGGCTCTGGCTGAAGCATTCAATTTTTTTCCCACGCTCGTGTGAGGAAGCCACGGAGCTTAGCGGTAACATATTGCAATTTGCATGCCTTAACAAGCCCACTGGTGGCCTCAGTGCACCTTTCCTCCCTGCGGAAAATTTTGGGGGATTGCATGTGTGGGGCACTGGGGGAATTGGTGCCTGGAGTGAGAGAGGAATGTGGGCTGACTGGGCAGGGAAGGCCAGTACTTCCAGCGCCCACAAGGAACCAGGCTTGGAGCAGTTTTATTATTTTATTATCGGACTTATATGCCGCCCTTTCTCCACAAGGACTCAGGGTGGCTCACAGCAATAAACAACAAGTCCAATTAAAATTCAACAATAAAAACTAAAATTCCCATTAAAACCCCATTCAATCCAGGCCAGCTTGGCGAAACAGCCATGTTTTAAGGTCACGGCAGAAGAAGCGAAGGTCGGGGGCTACCCGGAGCTCCAAGGGGAGCTGATTCCAGAGGGTAGGTGCGCCCACAGAGAAGGCTCGCTCCCTAGGGGCCATCAGCCGACATTGTTTGGCCGACGGGACCCCAAGTAGGCCCTCTCTATGTGAGCACACGGGGCGATGGGGAGCTGTTGCTAGCCGCAGGTGATCCACCAAATACCCCAGGCCTAAGCCATGTAGGGCTTTATAGGTGATCACCAGCACCTTGAACCTCACCCAGTGGGCAACCGGTAACCAATGCAGGTCACGCAGGAGGGGTGTGACATGGGAGCATCGGGACACTCCCATCACTACCCGCGCACCCGCATTCTGCACCAGCTGAAGCCTCCGAGTGGTTTTCAAGGGCAGCCCCATGTAGAGAGCGTTGCAATAGTCGATCCGGGAGGTGACGAGTGCATGGGTGACTGTGTGTAGGGCATCTCGGTCCAGGTAGGGGTGCAACTGGCGCACCAGACGAATCTGGGCAAATGCCCCCCTTGTCACGATCGTGACATGGTCTTCTAAAGTCAACCGTGCATCCAGGAGGACGCCTAAGTTGCGCGCCCTATCCACAGGGGGCAACACCTTTCCCCCTATGACCAAAAATGGAATATTCCCTTGGAACCGAGACGCCGGTACCCACAGCCACTCTGTCTTGTCAGGGTTGAGTCGGAGCCTGTTCCTCCCCATCCAGAGCTGCACCATCTCCAGGCATCGGGACATCATGTCGAGGGCATCACTGGGCTGGTTCGGGGTGGATGTAAAAAGTTGGGTATCATCAGCATATTGATGATACCCCACCCCAAAACCATGGATGATCTCCCCCAGCGGCTTCATATAGATTTTAAACAGCAGGGGAGAGAGAACCGACCCCTGAGGAACCCCACATGTGAGGGGCCTCGGGGTCAACCTCTGCCCCCCCCGCCGACACCGCTTGCGAGCGTCCCGAGAGGTAGGAGGAGAACCACCGTAAAACAGTGCCTCCCGCTCCCAACCCCTCGAGGCGCGCAGCAAGATACCATGGTCGATTATATCAAAAGCCGCCGAGAGATCTAACAGGCCCAGGGCAGAGGACTATCCTCTGTCCCTAGCCCTCCAGCGATCATCCACCAGTGCGACCAATGCCGTACACCAATGCTGTACCTGGGTCTGAAACCCGACTGGTACGGGTCTAGGTGTGATGCTTCATCCAGGACCAGCGGGAGCTGACGTGCCACCACCTCTCAACAACTTTTGCAATAAAGCGAAGGTTGGAGACAGGACGAAAATTGTTTAAAATAACTGGATCCAAGGTGGGCTTCTTGACGAGGGGCCTCACCATCGCCTCTTTCAAAACTCAAACAAGTTTTGGAGCTTGTTAAGGAGGACTGCTCCTCCGCCCCAGCCATGCGTTTTCAAGCGTGGGCTGCTTGGAGTGAAAAGCATGCAATATGCAATAGCCCGGGCTTGAAAACGTATGGCTGGGGTGGAGGCGGAAAACGGGGCATTTCCATCTGTCGTTTTTCAGGCCAGGTTTTGGCCATTTCTTGGCCGTTTTTGAGCCCAGAAAACGTCCGAAGTTGCCGCCTCTTTGCTGGTGCGAGCAGCCTCCAGCCGCTGCTCTTTCCCAGCAGGAACTCAGCCAGCAGAAGCTGCTGGAGGCTGCTTGTGCTGGCAAAGAGTGGCGGCTAGAAGCTTCTCACACCCAAAAAAAAAGAGGAGGCAGCTGCAGGCATCTTGCAACAAGGGGAGAGAGATGCAGGCTGGAAGGGAGCCGAGCAGCGGCGGCTCAGGGCCTTCCCCTTTGCCACCAGTCGCGGGAGGAAGGTAAGGTCATGGGACGAAGAAAGAAACGGTCATGGGGGAGGAAGCAGGGAGATTGAGTAAGGGCAGGGCCTCTGAAGGAGTGGAAACAGGGTAACGTGTGGCGAATGGCAAGCAGGTGCTATGCAGGAGGAGGCCCCAGAAGGCCAAAGCCAGGAACTAGCACATCCCCCAACCCAAGGCAAAGGGAGACTGGGCGGCATGGGGGAGGAGGCCCAGAGAAGGTCAGAGCTGGGGACTGGCGCATCCCCTGACCCGAGGCGAAGGGAGAGCAGGCAGCATGTGGGCAGAAGGATGGCGATTGGCAAGAGCCAGGCCTGAAAGGCAGCTGAGCCTCACTGTGTCCACCCCGAGGTGGCCCTTCGGCTGAGTGCCTTACCTTCGCAGGCAGCTGCAGTGAGCAGAATGGGTGAGGCGTGGATATCAGTTGGGCGGCGTGGTAGGCCGCAACGAAGGCAGGCAACCTGGCAGTGCCACATGGGACCATGGGAGACAGCTAGCTAGGCTGCAACTCGCAGGCTTAGCCAGCCCTATCAGGGCCGCTCAGTTGGGCGGCAGGCAAGCTGGCTGGCCTGCAGAGACCATGTGGTCAACGCAAGCGAGGAGCCAAACAGAAGCAACAGTTATGCCAGGAAGGCAAGATGAGAAGTGACTGGGCGGGGCAGGGTGGGTGGGATGAACAGAGGGCAGGGGCGAGCAGCAGGCGAGCAGGCAAGGCAAGTTGTGAGTGGGTGGGAGCGAGTAGGTGGGTGGGGGCAAGCAGGCAGGTGGGGCAAGGAGCAAACGGGTGGGTGGGGGCAGGGCCAGCCAGGTAGGATTTGTCAGTTCTCTGAACTGCTCAAAATTTTCACTACTGGTTCACCTGAACCAGTGCAAACCAGCTGAATACCACCTCTGATTTGTTCTTTATGTACATAATTATGTACGTAATGTGCCCTAGAATAATTGCACCATCAATTCGTATAAATTAAATTGCATGCTTCCCAGACTGACTTGCCTTACTTGTTGGAATACAGATTTATGTTAACTCTTAAGACAGCTACTTAATTGATAAACATAATTAAACAGATAACATCAGTATAAAGACCACATGAAACAATAATAATTGAATTAATTTAACTGTGCTAGGGTTTTATTTTTAGAGTTCCAAGCCTTGGGGAATTATAAAAAGATGCAAAAGGATTGAAAAATAAGAGATTGTCATAATTGCAGTACATATTTTGCTGCAAT